GGATGGGGCCCATGACAGTGGATACATCTGTTGGGACATATATGTTGGCCCGTAGCGCCGCATTGATTGGCATGGTCTTTTTCGGAGTGTCTGGAGGATCCGCAAAGGCGGCATCTGAGGTCGGAGGCACATGTGCGTGTATTGTGCCAGAGCCAGCACCGGGTGCACTGGACAGCCATCTGACGCTTGGGCAAAATTCTTGTCTGCGTGCGGTAGCCAAGGAGGAAGAGGGTTCGTGGCAGGCGCTGATGTGATTCTGGGAAACGCACGATCCATGTCGTCGATGAGGACGTTGGATTAGCATCATTGTCGCGAGAAGCCGCAATAGCTACAGGTACCGCTCCAGCTGCCGTGGCTAGGGCTTCCTTCAACGCCTCAGCTGTGACGGGCTTAAGGCAGTACTTCCATTCTTCGTTGATGTGTTCCAGGGCTCCATATGTCCGGGGAACATTTTTTATGCGGTAGGAAGTCCATGGTGTTGCTTTCTCAACTGGTGCGTCCCCGAAGAAACTAACGGACTTTATCTTTTCCATGAGATTTTCTGAGTCTCCGTCTTTGGGGCAGAGAGCGAACCCAGTCTTTGTTGACTGCACATTTGTAAGAATCTGACCCTCATTGCCAAGCTTAGCTTTCAGGTGGGATTGTATCGCGTATGCTGAGTGATCTCGGAGTGTATTACCTTCCGGGATACGGACAAATAAACGATCATCAGTGCGGGTGGGCTTGAGCTGAAGCCGCGCTTTAGCGGGTGTTTGGAGGGTTGGAGTGTGGCGACCGGCGAATTGCTTATTGGACGCCCTTGAAGCTGCATTTGCGTAGGTCTGCGCAGTTTTTGGGGCATTGCGGTTGGACGTGGCGGCGTCGATGGTGACGGTCACTGGCTTATCACAGAGGTAAGCATCGAAATGCCGTGCTGCGACTTTAGCTAAATCATTGCAAAGGCTTTTGAATGCTTCAGCTTGCCTGGCGGGTAGTGTAGCGTAGTTGGGTGCGCTGCTATGCTTGTCGATTAGTGCAGAAATACCTCCAAAAAGGGTCTCTGCTTCTTTTGCTCGGGCTGTCAAAGAGTTTACGCTCTTGGTCAGAGTGTCTTGCATTGGGCCCGCGGGAGCTGGCTCTGAAAATGGGTCGTCTATGGGGTCGTCGTATTCGATTTGATCGTCGTAATTAATTGGATCGATCTCCATGTCAAGCTGCTGGCTGCTCCCGGGTGTGTCCCAATCGCTAAGAGCTGGATTATAGAAGGGAATGGCTTCTACCGCCTGAGATTGGGTAAGACCCTCCATAGTCGGGAGGGCTGCTCTCGCGCGCGCTGAGCGCGGGATGCGGCTTGATTCTGGTGTCGGTTTGGCTACAGTTGTCGGTTTTTGACGCGACTTGTGAAGGGTGGTAAGGGGGGGTTTGATGTTTTTGTGGTTGTTTCTGATCGGAGCCAGAACGGAAGGGTCTTTACAGTACAATCTACAAATGAGAATATGCTGTGAGATGTGAGAGTTGGCTTTAAGTTGGATGTGTGTGAGCATGAAGTTTTAAGGAGGTGCTATCTAACATTAAGTACATGATATCACGTGATATGTAGAATCCAGTACAGATACCTACGCTCCACGATTCGTCAAAAATTAAGGTTCGGACCTGGAACAAGAGATCATGATAGCCACTTTATTATCTACACCGATGCAGATTGGGCAAATGACAAATCGGATAGGAAAAGCGTTTCTTGAGGAGTTGGAATGTTCTATGGAGGAATATTTTGCTAGATGTCGAAAAAGCAGCGGTCAGTAGCAAGATCAAGCTGTGAGTCGGAGTACATATCTCAATCTATGTATGCAATGCAAGGACAGTGGACAGCACAAGTCTTCCGAGACTTATAGATGCCAGATTACATTGGTACAGATGGCATAAAGGTAGATATGCGCGGGGATCACCAAGGAGCTATTGCACTGATCAAGACCCTCACCTTCATGAGAGGTCGAAACATTTTGACGTCTGCTATAACTATATCAGAGACCTCCTCGAAAAAGGGAAACTCGGCGTCGAATATGTGCCCACTTCAGAAATGCCTGCCGACAGATTTACCAAGCCGCTTGCCCGCGTCGCGCTCGAACATTTTAGAGGATTCCTTGGTGTTGCCATAGATTGATCGTACTGAAAGGAATTTTTGAGAGGGATAGATTTTGGTAGCTCAAGACTGCTCACACTATAAGGAAATGGTTAAACTGTCCTTTGCAGCTATTGATAGTGACATGAATTAAGGTGATGATTGTGATTGAGATAGATTTTTATATAGTTTATAATACATGATATGCTCCGGTTCATATACCTCGAGCCAAGCAACCAGATTATGTTCCTCCAGATCTAGATTCATCAGAATAATTACTTACTCAGTAAAATTCTCCTAGTCTCGGTTGTGTGTTTAGGATCTTGATTAGGTTTCTTGTAACTAGTCAATGATGTCTCGCCTATCACTGAGACATAGTCATGGTTGATACAACAGGTACAAACGATGAATCGTGTCTGTACATGACGTTGTGATATAATCATGATCGTCTGAACAATATCAACTCATGAATGAATCATGTCTCTACATGACACACACTGAGGGGGAGTATTGTAAATGTATCAGTGCGTAGCAGAGATAACACACTCTAGATTCTGTATCAGGCTAGCCATATTGATGGTGTGGAAGCGAGATTGAGTGTGGTACTTATAGAAGACTTACTCCCGTTAGATTCTAAGGTTAGTTAATCAAACCCTATTGAACCTACCTTCTTGCTTCCCTTGCACATTAGTACTCTGTCGCTGATAATTACATTGTAGGGTGCTTCTTTTCAACAATAAATCAATTAACGGAGGAGATAAAATATCGGATTCCCGATTTAAAAATCAACAAGGTGAGGTGACTTCACGACGGTAAGGAGCACCAATGCATGGGAAGAAATGGCCATAATCGAGAATTGCTGATCGTGAGCCTTCCGACAGAGGCACTTCAACGCGAAGTGACAAGAAACGGCATTTTGCTAGATTAAATCTTGTACACCGCTCAGCTCTAGTCACCTCGTGCTCAAGTCAAGCTGTGCTTTAACTGCAGCGAATAGGGGCATACTCAGGCCTCGTGCACAAGGCGAGAAGATGTAGTGAGTGTGCGGTCACTCATCAGAACAGAGACTGTTCGAGGAAGTCGGTGCTTTGCTGCAATTGCGGCAAGGCCCATAAATCGTGGCAGAAGGGGGCGTGTACGAACTTCGCATCATACAAGGCCAGTATTCAAAGGGCCAGGTTTGGACTCATGGAAAGAACGGCAGATTTAAGAAGGGAGAAAAGTTTACCAGCGGCAATACCATCAACAACAGCGGCAAAAAAATAGAAGACCAAGGTTTCACACTTGTATCCAGCCAAAAGCCAGAGATATTCAAGAGAGGGCCAGGACGCCCGCGCAAACAGCTCTTGGCCCCAGCCCAACAACAATAACTATTTGCTTCATCAGGGTCAAACATAAGACCACAGTCATCACTTTTCGGCACGCGAGGACAGGGAAAAGATGACGAGATATACTTTAGCTAGTCACTTCTCGGACTAATGACCAATAGCATCTCCTGTAGGTGACGAAGGACTATAGATGAAAATAAAAGTTAATAAGGGGAGGGAGTTTTATCGTAATAGTTTCTCCCTCATGTAATCTATAATTAGGTGTATAGATACCTGCACGGGCCCATAGAGTGCCAAATCAGGTCAATGAAATCAAATTCAAAAATTAGGGACTGTGTTAGAATGTATAATAATTGGGACTATCAAGTAGCCCACATTGTTGGTACACACGAGACTATGGATTCTGTACTTAGTTTCACTTCGGTAGTTACTTGAATCAATGCGCTCTACAACCTCGGTGACTGATGGTTCATTATTTCCTTGATAGACTGTGTCGGAATGATTTATCTAGATGGAGTTATTTAGAGTAGGTAGTTGTTGCATTGCATTGGCTAGTTCTCTTGTTGTGTGGATTCTGATATTCGGATAAAGCATTATCCGAATGTAGGCTAGATAGCAATCCCATAGCATCAACTCAGAAGAACACGAATGAACAATGAATGCGCATTTCTTCTGAACGATAGTTCGAAACACTTACACAAGTACTCTCATAACTTTGAGTGAACTAATAGACTTTTAGTGTATGACCTTTGTCATAACAATAGACTGTAATATAAATATAAATCTAAGACGGGAAAGTGGTAGCAGCCCATACGCGCTGAAGTAAATAGAACTCGGTAGAGGGCGCCATTAGAGAGTTGGGTTATACCTTGGCCTGTCGGACGATTTAGAACCATTTTGAGGTCCCTACTGGATTAGAATGTATCAAAAGTGAGATAAGCTTATTTTTGTGATGTTTTATGTTGCGGGCGTCTCGTGGCACCGAACTACCGATGTGTGTAGTAGAGCTTAAATCTAGAAGTAACTACCTTCTCTATTCATACAGGGCATCATCTATTTAAGTACAGTATTTCTTAACTTCCGCCCGGACACTGACGTGAACATCATTACATAAGCATTACAATTTATCAGAGCCTCGTACTTGTACAGTGGTCCGTTAACATAGGATCCTCAACTTGTCGCCAATTATCGCTATTTATCGGTCGACAAGTCATATATTTTTAATTGAGGAACCAGAACGATAGTGATAGAATTTAGTAATCGGAGATAATCTTGAAATACAAACCACATTCAACCTCTTCCGCCTCTCCGTCTACTTAGACTTGAATATCTGAAAGACAGCATGTATGCTTAATTTCGTATAGAAGTCTACTTGCTACAAACATTTACCTGTTATAAACACTCTATCATCATCTACCTTCTCTGCCGCTTGGGCCATTCGAACCTTACATCACGCCGGGCCAACGGATAGCTTCTTCAAATTAAAATTCGATCATTTCAACATTTTTATTCCCGAGAGCAAGAGATATATCCTATGTTAAGCATATACAGGAATATCACATAATTTCCTCAAGATGGAATCACCCGACTTAATGGACTCCCTTAATTCCCTGCAGAGTATGATCAATCTCGTTGCAAGTAGCCGGCACTCCCATGAATACAGTTCCCACAGAACTAATCTTCCCCAAAGCTCATAGAAACTGGAAAATCTTTCCGCTCTTTCAATACAAGCGATTCTAAGTCTAGATTCGCTGCTCACACAAAGGTATGCAACAGCTTACCAAATGCCATTGAAAAATTTCACTTAGCTGTAGATGTTCTAGAGTGTGAAATTGTAAGTCTGCACAAAACGGACAAAAATTATAGCTGTTAACCCTGCCGTAGCTCCAATCGAAGGCAGCCCTACTGGACGAACTTGGATCACTCAAATTAAAACAACAAACTTATGAAAATTCATGCATCGTAGATAACACCAATAAATCCACAGCTGACGGCCTCAATGGGAGTATACTGGATGGCGATACGACTAACCCGGAAAAAGAAAATATTGCCTCTATGGCACAGGCTTCTCCAAAGGTTCCATACTCTGAGCCATTAGAGTTGACGGCTACAGAACCAGCTCAGATTTTTCACGACAGAAATGATGACCCCCCAGCTGTAATAGACTCGCCATCGCAATGCTCAAAAAGCCAGGTACTTAAAGTGGAAAATCACAGTATCAACCTTGAACTAAAAAATGAAGAGCCGATGGCTCTGTCTTTAAAAACAGATACCTTTCAAGAAATTTCTATGGATTCCCTTTTTGGAATATCACCACAAGAAGTAATAAACATAATATCAGACTCAGGTCCCGAAGAAATGGTCATTGACCCGAAACCTCTTGCTGCTGTAACACAAATTAAAAATCCCTCGTACAATAAGAATTCTAGTTTTGGTCACTCAAATCTTGAACCAATACCGCAATTTTTTGACATGGCAAATTTTCACACAACGGCTGACTCAAGTAAATCTATTACTAATGGGAATGAACAGGTCTTGCTTCATGATCAAAATATGAACATTTCAACACAAAATTTGCCCCCCGATATGAATGGAATGACTACCCCTGACGACAATCTATTTGACGACCTATTTTTTGGAGACGACACTGAGGACATAAATGGAATCTAAAATCTTAACTGATTTGATCTAGTGATACTATCTCTAACTCGAGCTAGGGAAATTTTGGAGTTTAGGCCAGGCGTTATTCAAGTATGCAAGGCTGGACAGCTAGCCTCGAATACTTTCTCAGTTTCATATGATTGTTATAGGGTGATAATAACAACAATCAAATAGTCATTCATCCACTTGATCAAGTGCAATCATCCACTCTGTGAAACCTACAATAATAAGTGGTAGAATCTATAGATTAGCCAAGCTGTCAGAACAGACAAGACCGTGACTACGTATACATCATTCTCTTGTGCTAATCAAGCGAGAAAGATCCAGCTACTAATAACGACGTACTATAGAACCTTGTGATGAGAGTCTGCTTGCATCTGTTACGAATTAAATCTAACAACTATGTCTCCGAGCTCTAGTCATTATTTGATGCCATGTAGGCCTTGTAAGGGGCTTCAGAATTCTTTTAGCTATTCGAAGAAGCTGTAGAAAAAAGGTCAAACAGCGGCTCCTTCGACAAGATCAACACATAGTGTCTTGATGGGTTTGATATTTAATTCACGATATATTATCAAAAAACTTGGTGATGACTAAGCTTTAATCACAGACTCCGCAGAAATTCTTCATAAACTGGGAACAGCATGTCCTGCATGTTCGTAGACTGAGAAAGAACAACAAAATAATTAGTAATTATCTCGAGTGAATAAATGTTCGACACCGGGTGTAAAAGTCTTTTGCGTGTGCTTCATTCCACTTTGCATCAGTTAGGATGCGTTAGAGTTTAAAAAATTTTCATGTTATTATTGTTAAATATAGAATGCTATAAGAGTTTTCTACATATGCGACTATCAAAGCCCTAGCACAGATCTTCATTTCATGTTGATTTCAAATAGCACATTATTTTTTTTAAATTATGAAATTGAAATAAAATAGCACGGAACCAAAGCATTACATGGCAAGCAAAATCACACAATTGCATATATTTCGAGGTATCACAGTAGAAATATAGGGAATTTGGATCACGTTCTTGCTACTCAAATGATCGAAAAATAAAAGGAAAAACTACAGTTCCATTTTCAACAACTACCTCTGTTCTAAGGCCAGCTGCAATCGCGATCATTTGATATAATATCGGCCAAACTTCTCGATAAATCACCGATCCTATCAGGATATATAATGATATCATGAAAGATTACTGTGGTAACCTCTATGACTTCCTTAACAAATTGGTAGAAATGCTCTATGAATTATGTGGAAAAATCGAGTTGCAGCCAGTCAATGATACAAACGCATTTTCTCTTATGCTTAACAGAAAATTCCTCCAAAATCTTTACCGAAATATTGCATGCAAAGAACTTGGAGTAAAGGTCATCTTGAACGCAATTGAACAGCATCATGAAACATCAGGAGTCCGTCTGTTTTATCTTGACCAATGACTAACTGTAATGTTGGAATTTGGAACTACCAGTCTGTGCCTTACACAATATAGAGTAGGTAGAATGGGCTAGGGCTGGTTTGTTTGTTTGCTGGTTGTAGGTCCTAATCTATACTCTTGATTCCTCAGAAGTCAAAGACCAGTGTACACGGCCGAGATCATGCTTCACAAATGCCAACTCGGTCGCGCCGCGTGAACCACTACACATCCAGTAGCTGGGTGAAAGAAAGAAAATAAAAAAATTCACAAACTCCCACAACCAAAATTCCAAGCCCAATAATCCTAGTTGTGGTCGGAAAACAACACTCCTCGTCTCGTGAAACGTTAAGTCATGTTCAGGCATTCAAGTTGGTGTCTCGTCTAATTTCGTTGTGTTTGCGGTTATTTTTGAAATTGTTATCTCCGCACAACGAAACAGAGTTAGCGTTTAAACGTCGCTCTGGATGTTTCGGATTGAACTGAGGTAGAATTTGGATCAAATATGATCATTAAATATATAGAAGAGGTTTTGACCTTTAAAAAAAAGAGAGATATACAGATTTTGATTTTACCAAATGCAAACCTCATTTTACCTAAAAAGTCTAATACGTCTCGTTTTCCTACCTCTCATGCTTCATGCAATGATCTGGTTAACACCGTCTCCGCTGAGAGCTGGACAAGGACTGGCTGGGGGGGACTATACTCAACACCTGTCAGTGGTGTCACCAACGAGCCTCCTGTTGTAATTACCAGGTTAGATGGATAAGTATTGTGGTAGGACAGTATATATATAGAGAAGAATGTGGAATGAGTATTCTCGTGGTGGGCGAATGTATTTAGACTATCTGAAGGTAAAATGGATATCTAAAGATTAACGCATAATCTACCTAAGAAGTAAATGGACCTGTGTAAGGATTCTCCTTCCCATCCTATCTTTAGTTTATAATTTTACCCTTCTCCTGATGTTGCTATGACAACAGAACAGTTCTTGGCACTGGTTATTATGTTGGCACTAGTTTAGGGCCTATGTTATGATGAGCTAGTGGGAGGAAAGCAAGTATATGTATGATGGCTTGGCCTGTAGCCATAGAGTTCTTCACGCTTAGTCTTCTGTCACAACCACCACCTTCGGATCACCTCTGGTCACCTAAAGTCACCTCTAGTTACCTCTAGTACCTTTAGTTATCATTAGTACCCTCTCGAACCTTTAGACCTTTGAAATACTTATATTAACTATCTTTCAAACCTAAATTTCCTCCAAATTATCTCTAGTATACCTTCAGTCATCTTTCGCCGTCCATTTAACATCATCTAGCCCTTCGAATTCGCTCCAGCTCAAACGTCTAGACTCCAATCTGACAGCTTGCATAACTAAAGTCATGTTGTTTCATCACTGAGTCTTACCTATGAAGTCCTTGCTTCCTTGCGCAGACTAGGATCATAACACCTCCAGCTCTCACTGTCGAGTCCACAGAGCCGAGACTGAGTGACAAAGTCCTCACTTCGACGAGGATTCTCAATCGCTTCCGCCATCTGTATATTCTTTGTACCTCAACACATTCCCCTATCACCAGTATCATGAAGCTAACCAAGATCAGATGGTAGGGTCGAAGCCCTACTCATCACTAACCCTTGATCATAGAGGAAAAGCCATCCGATGAGTTTTCTGAGAGTACCCAGCACCCGATACGGCGATGGTAGATTGGATCAAGTCGGCCTCGGATGTTACAAAGAAGTGAGATCTAGATGAACATGCGCAATTCATGTGGTCCTGGTGTGTGTAGTTATGAGCTGTGAGGTGTATGGCAATTATGACTCTGCTGTCCGTCGGTGGAGTGGCACGGGCTTATGTGAAATTGCGAGTCGCGGGATGGCGCGCTCACCCTGGGTTAATGGCATGATGGACACTGAGTGCGCATCAAATGGTGATCTATGAAGGTGATGCTAGATGCGCATCCCGACGACTGATAATATCATCTAATGGATAATGTGAAGTATGATATTATTTTGTATAGGTTGATTCACTGAACTCTGCAGGTGGAGTGATTGTAAGGTACATGAAAAGAATCTGTGCACCAGCCTGTATTTTCCACACCGGACACAGACCCCCTTGATAAGCAGTTTATTAAATGCTTCTTTGCTACGCTGAGGCCTGACTGTGCTTATTTGACCTTTTCCTCAGTGACTTCAATTCGTGTACGACGGCAGCAAACAGTGCGTTAATTCCAGTCATCACTGTACCGCCCTGCTCATCTACTTCTGCCTTTGTTTCCTCGGAAAATATTGAACGTTACCGCTTTTTGGCGCCCTGAGCTGAGTTTTCGTTCGAGTCGCATTCTTTGATCGATATTCTACCAGTGCTTCCAAGTTAGCTACTACCTCGCTCACTTTTGTCACCCGCTGCTTATAATTAATTAGTGAAGGAAGATCAACAGATGACAGAGCACGGCGTAGGCGCGAATCTAAAGAAAAATTCAACTGTACTATCTTCCTGATACAGTGAAGAGATCCTTGCACAAAGGAGTCCGGTATTCGAAGTCTTTGAGGAAGTCTTGAAATAGCTGGTTATACCCCTGTTCCATGCGCTGGGCCATCTCTACAGCAGCCTGGCACACCTGGTTATCTCGAAATTGTAAGCACAGATGATTGATAAAACCTCGCCAGTAAAATTGTTTATTGTCCACGGCATCTTTAAACCAAGCAGCGACCCACGGCTTCTTGTCTTCTGGGAGAGTCTCTATGATGGACAAGGAAATTGTGCTGGTATCTATTCCGAGCGCTGCTTCCCTTTCTATCCTTACCATCATTCGTTGAATATATAATTCAAAGTCTTTTTGTCTGCCATTCCACTTTGGTAACACCACTCGTGGCATTGATATGATTAGACTCCCGCCTGTAGGTAAAATTGGGATATCCTTTCCTTTCGTGCTCGCTGGACCTTGTGCGGATTCCCGGGCGCGTGTCTCTTTCCATAACCTCAGCATTTCTCGGTGTTCTGGCTCAGAGATTTCGGCCCATGGGTCAGTAACTGTTGACTCTTCCATTTTCAGATCGCCTTCATTCTGTTCTGAGATTGGCATGTGTGTTTCCACGTTACTGTATTGCAGGTCATTGAGTTCTGAGGCATTGAAGAAGGAGTCGTCAGTGGAATCTGTAGAAAAGATAGAGTCGCTTCCAGGAACTGCAATTCTCATTAACTGGAGTATTTACTAAAGATGTATAGCTATTCTCCTGGCTACAACCCACAGAGAGATTTTGAAATAGAAAATATATGTGACAGGCTAGGACTTTCGGCCAGTGCACGGGAGCAATGCCACGATTGAATGCTTATATTTTTTATGCAGTTCAGGAGTGGGTAGCTACAGTGCTTTATGACTATTGAAGCTATTCCAGATTCCTTGGCTTTACATGTGACCTGCTAGTACTTCAGTACTCTACAAAGATTTACCTAATAGCTTACGCCTACGAAACAAGGATGGGCCCTATAGTCATTTACAGCCCAGCAAGAATCCAACAGGGCCTAATCCGTAACAGGTAGGATGTGAAGTTGTTGAATGATCATTGGCCCAGTAGGTGACAACTTATTGCTTATTTG